TTAGAAGATCTTCCTATTCGAAACCAAGTGATTTAATTCTTCTTTAAAAGAATTATATCACAATTAATTTAAAAACAATGAAAAAAATTTATTTAAAAAAAAAATTTTTTATGTAAAAACACTTCGCGCTGCTAGTTCTCGATTTTGGTGTAATAAAATACAATAATAAAGATAAGAAACATTTTCACGAGAATTAAAGTATTTAGTGTGTATATATTCGTGTTGTATGTGCGAGTGAATTGTATCTCAATCCCAATATAATAACGTCATAATAAAATTATACATGGATGTAACATTATGTACAAAAAAGATTAGAAACTACGAGTGTTAAAGTATGCAGTCTGTATGTATATTCGCGTACAGTATACATTATATATTACCTTTACATATATTTGTATTAATTATTATAGCTTTTACATAGTTTTCATTGTTTTTCTTATTCGCTCTAGCAGCGCGAAGTGTTTTTACTTAAAAAATTTTTTTATTTAAATAAATTTTTTTCTTTTTTTTTAAATTAATTGTGATATAATTTTTTTGAAGAAGAATTAAATCACTTGGTTTCGAATAGGAAGATCTTCTAATAAGAATACAAAGGCATATACTTAGGTTTCATTGGATGAAGATAAAGATGGTACCTCATGGGTTTTACTTTTTAATTTAGTAGAATTTAAATAATAGTACTATATGGGTTCTTAAACATTGAAGGTACCACTTGTGTTTTACTTTTTAATTTGGTAGAATTTAACTTGGCGCCGACTATTGATATCAAATCTTGTATACAAATGATAAATGTCATTAAAATTAAGTAAGTAATAAGGTAGAATAACTTGGCGCCGACTATTGATATCAAATCTTTTATACAAATGATACATATCATTAGAATTAAGTAAATAAGGATAATATCACATAGGTTTTTAAAGATGGTTCTACTAACCAGCAAATGTGATTGATTTCAGTTTCACAGTCGATTAAGTAATTGGCGTTGGTGAAACTGGCCCAAATGGTTTTTTGACCATCAACACCCACTCTTAGCGCTTCTCTTTCTACCTTTTTTTTAAAAAGGTAAGTTTTACATATTACCATGAAAATTGACTCATATATTATTGAAGGTGCCAGTTCAAAATAAACATAAGGATAGTACCACTTGGGTTTTTAAAGATTGAATTTAACTTGGTAAGGATAAGATCACGTAGGTTTTTATAAATAAGGACTACATGGGTTTTACTATTTTAAGGATAACATCACGTAGGTTTTTATAAATAAGAACTACATGGGTTTTACTATTTAATTTAGTAAAATTTAATAAGAATAATAACCACATCGGTTTTTAAAGATAGTAGAATTTAGCTTGGCGCCGACTATTGATATCATATCTTTTATACAAGTGATACACATATAACGTTGTAAATAAATAATTTTCTAGTTTACATCATGGTCTACTAAACAGCAAATATAATTAGTCGGTTCTACAGCCAATTAAGTAATTTGGCGTTGGTGAAACTGGCCCAAACGGTTTTTTATCAGAAGCTCGCACTCTTAGCGCATCTTCTACCTTTTTTTAAAAAGGTAAATTTTTTAGTTTTTTTACATGGTATAAGAACTACATGGGTTTTACTATTTAATTTAGTAGAACTTAATAAGAATAATTACCACATCGGTTTTTAAAGATAGTAGAATTTATAAGAACTACATTGATTGTACTATTTAATTTAGTAGAATTTAATAAAAATAATTATCAATATAACAGTAATAAAGTTATAATATTATAAGATTGAAATAAAATAACAATCTGAACTTAACATAACCTTTGCATAAAATATAAAGTGATCTCAATAAAGAGGTACTTTTCGTCCGTTTTTTAGGCCCTCAAATTTTTAACTACATTGCCAAATAATATACTATGATTAATGTCTTAATATAAGATTTTTGGCACACAATTCAGTTCCATAATATTCACACAATGATAATAAAACGCTAACATCCTGTTCCAAGACTCGATTAGGCATTTTCACTTTCTATGATTTTAAATCTTACGAGTCTATTGATATCATCATTCAATTTATATATTTACATATTTAATGTAACATAAGATAATAGAATATTAATCATAACAAAAATATTTCATAGAACATAATTCTTTCATTAGTTAGTTAAAATAAAGAACCTTTTGAGAAATAAAATATCTATAAACTAAATCTTTGCCAATTGTTTCTTCAAGATATGGCTAATATTTGTACCAAAACCGAAAAGAAAATGTAATTGAAATTAATTTAAAAAATTAATGCACTTTTTTATTCTTCATCAGTTTTAAAAGAATAATCAGTAAAAAAAAGTATCAGATAATCAGTATTTAAAAAAAAAGTATTCTTTTATATAGATATTCTTCTTATTGATATCTTTTTAAAGTGTTATTTGTTATTATCTTCATTCATCAATATTTCATATGTCAATTGCAATACTTTTTGCATTATTTCTAATCTTGTTTTCGGTAAAATTTTTTGCAATCTACATCCTAATAAAGTTAAAAAATAATCAATTTCATCAGATTCTGGTGGTGGAGGCAACGTAACTTTGTTTTGATTACAAATAGCATTCGCTATTTTCTCGAGTGCAGTTCGTGAAGCATCATTTTTAATTCTTTTTTTTCTTCCCTTTTTTCTTTCTTCACTGATATCTAGAATATAAAAAAGTCAATATATTTTAATTACTTTTTAAAATAATTTGGTGTTTTAATAGCCGATATGCACACACCAAGCATTTTGTTCATATAAATCAGAAATTAACAATTTCTAATTTTTTATTGATCGAGATTGATACTTCTTATCTCATTCTATTTCGAGATATACACGTGAAATAGAATAAAATAACAAGTATCAACCTTAGCCATAAATTGATAATTTCGGGATTTATTTACCATTACTGAAAAACATGAAAAATGCTTGGTTTATATAATATATATAAATAGATCAAGCAATACTTTTATTATATACCGTTAATTTCAATTATTAATTTCACCTGTTTGGCTTTCTAAATCAATGTCATCATCTATGAGAGATGAGAAATTTGAAGTTGAATCATCAGTGTTCAAATTGGATACTGTGCTGTAAAAGTTTTATTTTAATAAAACATAGATATTTTATTTAATATATGATAAAATATATAATTATATTTATTATACATTAAATATTTTACATTTTTTGTAGACAAGAGTCTCTGAGAAAAGCCATTGAGTGATAATGAGGCCACTTTTGAGTTGTATCTGATCTTGCAGATCCACTCATTCGTTCTTCTGATTGTATTATTTTCCTATACGTATCATGTAACGATTTAAACCTTTTTTGTACTTCTTCTGCGCTTATTTTACCTACAAAGAGGATACATTTATTATGTTGTTAAATATTTTTTAGTATTATATTTACCATTTAATGTTGAAGATACTTCTGCCCATAACTGTCGTTTTATGTTAGTTTTACGTTGTACCAAAAGTAGAGAGTAATCCCATAATGATGGACGCTTTTGTACTTCTAGGATTAATAATTCTTCATCATCAAAGTTTAATTTGATTCTTGTATTTTCATCTATTTTTGAATATTTCCTAGAGACCTTTTTAAGTGGTTCAGAGATTTTTTGTCGCTCAGTTGAATCAGTTGATTGTGGTATTTGTATAATATTACCTACAAAAATATTTTAAATATGAAAATTATTCAAAGATAACTACATTTCTACTTAAAAATTCTTTTTCTTTATTTACTTCTATCTTCATGATAAAATGGCTCTTGCACTAATTGCTCGGTATTATTTACGTTACTTCTTCTAACAATTGTTACACCGTCATCTATACAATAACAAGAAAATTAAAATATTTTATTTTAATAAATATATGAACAAAATAAAATTTATCATATATTTATCATATTTTATCTATACATACCTGCTAACGGATAAAAATATAATGTTTTAGGATCAACAATATAAGAACTGTATCCATGTAAACAATCATGATCTTTTATGTTTGCTTCATTACATATCTGCTCACATACTCCACATGTTTGGACAAATTCGAAATTCTGTAAACATAAATAATAATATACATATATTAAAATGTTAATACGCAATAATACTTTAACGTTCAAATTTATTAAGAGGTATATATATTCTACATATTTAATCTAATTTTTGTATTTTATAATGAAAAATTAAATAACTTTAGAATAAACACTGAATTAATAAAACAAGTAACTTAATTATTTAAAAAGAAATGTTATATACGAAACATGACGTCTAGCAAAGTTTAGTTAGTACGAAATCTCGATGAGGAAGGTTATACTTCTAAATAAAATAAAGCTCATTTTTCATTGTAGTTTCATTATAAAAAGAAATACCTCATCTCCAAATTCCATTATCTTTGTAGTACCTCAATTTGTCTTGATTACAATTGATCATAACCGTTCATGCTCGCTGTGTGTGACGCACATGTGTGACGCTAGAAGTTGAGTTAAATTTAACTTTCAGCGTCAAACGTTAACATCTAAATTGAGATCACGTGACCACACTGACGCTGCTTTTTAGCGTCTCATGAAATTGTCTTTAAGAGGTTTGATTGCTCCATGTTATACCGCCATGTTTCATGTCGAAATTCAGGTTTCAGTAAATATTTAAATGTTTTTTTTTCTTCTTACCGTCTTATTACATGAACAAAAAAAATTCGTTTTAAATATTGTAATTGTAGAAAGAATCTTAGCATCACAGCACCAAGCTTGGCTTCCGAAAAAAGTACCCTGGCGCCGCTATGCCCCGCCAGGGCTCGATTACACTACTGGCTGTAGGCTGAATGGTTGCAGGAGCGGCGGACGAGCTGCAGGCATCGCGCTGTAGGCTTGTCATTGGACCCTGAGTACCACCAGAAGATTCATTGCGTGAGATTATTTCTGTACGATTATTTCTGTATCGCGATTCCTCTCTTTCGAGGCATTTATGTATCGCTATCGTCTTAGAGCATACGTCGGCAAAATTAGCGTACCCTTCGGTTTTCAGCTCAATTCTATAATCACGAAGTAGTACCTCGTAGAAAGCTTCGAGAGCGTACGAATCGATAGACGAGATTTCTGTTTCCGTCAGCGTGCGGTCAAGATTTATTTAATCGCCCTCAATTTATAGCAGTTCGCAAGTCCTTTATACGTCCTACATAATCGAGTATGTGTTCCCCAGGTTTTTTATAAACTATACTAAGTTGTCCCCGGTAGTAGTTTGCGCTTCTTCCAGGACCAAACATCATTTTTAGTATCTCGAGGAACTTAGAGACTTTATAATGAGTCTCGTCTTCGATAGCAAGATACGCGTAGTACGATAATTTATTTTTTTTCATTCGCACCAGTAATGCTTCATCCAATTGCGGAATAGAATCTTTCGCTCTTTTGTAAGCTCGCGCGAATAGCCACGGGTGTATTGTGCCCGTCGTATTTCGGCACGAGTTCGAACGCGTCGCAAACGTACGATTTTGGATAGGCCGAATACGCGGTAGTAAAAGTCATATCTGGTACAAGGCTCGAGGTCGCGCCTACTATATTCGCGAATCCGGTAATATTGAGTGGCGGTGGCCCTTCATCAGGAATCGGCCCTACGTGTGTACCATAGAGGCGGCGAAATTCGGACTTTAAAGTCCAGCTAATGCATCAGCGACGGTGCTTATTGTATTCTTAAAAGTCTCGGCACGCGAATTTAATTCTCGCTCCCTTGCTCTCGCCGATTTAATCGCTATCTCGTACTCTTTCTATAGGTCCTCTAGGAAACGTGAAATTTAACTCCTCTCGCGGGGGAGTGATATCATCACTCAACCCGTCCATTTCGGAAGACAAAAGGCGAAAAAGTCTGCAAGAAGCTATTCGACGAATGCAAGCTACGAAAATATTATATATTATGAAATATATTATGAAATATATATTAATCACGTCAATTAACTACTAGATACTAGGACACTTGTGTCGTGTGTAGGATGGCCAACCGTCCCGAATTTTGCGGGAAGTCCCGATTTTCGACTCTTTTAAAGGCGTTCCGAAAGAACCCTAAGCGGGACGCTATTTGTCCCGGTTTTAGTGATACCACACGTCACATTGCAAATTGGTCATTGTCACCAACGTCAGGGTAATGTCCCATGGAGCGGTTTGTGCGTAAGCGGATTAGTGGATCGCCAATCACAGAATCGTTCTGTTAGATTTGCTTGCAAAATTTGTAAACAGATCTAACAGAACGATTCTGTGATTGGCGATCCACCAATCCGCTTACGCACGAACCGCTCCATGGGACATTACCCTCACGGTCATCAGTATTGTCAGTGACGAGACAGATATTTGTCAAGAATTTTACAAATGTGTTCTAGAGAATATGTTGAAATGTACAAAGTCACAAAAAAAATATTATTTTAAGCTTTAAAGTATTGTATTTCAAACATATTGTTATGTTTCGTTGTGATTTAATTTTATGTAATTTAATTTTAAAGACATTTTATAAATAAGAATAAAGGCTCTAGTAGGTTAAGAAGGGGTCAATCGGCCCCCAAACGGATTATGACCAGTATGTCACCAAAAAGTTCGTTGACCTGAAAAAAGAATTTGGAGAAATTTTTAATTCCGTACACCACCCCTTTTCGGAGATATTGCCTTATGAAGTATTTTCATATTTTATTTTTGTCACGAGACCTATCAGATACAATTTTATTAAAAAAATTTGGGCATACAAAACGTATCAAAAGGTATTTGAAAATATTTTTTGCGAGATGTTCCAACCTAACCATAATTTTTAAAAAATTCCTGAAAATTTATAAGTGACCCCCTTTTGTTAGTTTATGATTGGCAACCT